TCCTACAGATGGGGAACATGGAGATTTTAATTATTTTTATTTCTATCATTATGATGTACGTTTTACAAAAACAAGTCACAAAATACCATGTGATGCATCTAAACTAAGAACCTCCAAAGTGCCTACTAGCCTTTCACACAGACACACATTTACTGATTTTCAGAATTACAAACAACTCTCAGCTTGAATGACTCCATTACTAACATTCAGACTCCAAAATCAGTTGTGACCCAATAATTTCTAGACTTTCTGAAGCTTCAGGAGGAGCTCTTTGAATTTCAGATGAGTGAAGTACCAGGAGCTTTGATGATACGAAAGGGTTGGGACAGCCTCTGAACTTAATGAAATTGGTATTTCCCTATGCAAGTGAGCCACGTGAGAAGGGATGAAGAGTCACAGCCTTGCTAGCCAAAATCATTCTGTCCCAACTCTCTGTAGCACATTTCTCTGTTTTCTCAAATACAGAAAGTTTACCTCTGCTCCCTCTTAGTGTTTTCCATAACCCTGCCATTTTTGGTGGCTGCTTTCTGCAGTGCTTCTTGTCTACCAGCGACCCTAAACCCAAGGAATGGATTTTTCTAGGTTACTCCCCCTCTATTTGATGGCTTTCTTGGGCTCATGAAACCAGGTCCAAACCCTTCCAAAGTTATAGTCTTTGCCTGATTTTAGTCAGCCTTAGAGAGAAGGCACAGAGTGAAGAAGGACACCTAACCTTTTTCTGGGTCCTTCTCTGTCCTTAACTTCAGGGTAAAAAATACTTTAAGTATTGCCTATGATTAGGCAAGAAGGCAAAAAATATTGTAAAAAATCCAAATCCAGACTGCTTCATACAGAGAAGCAGATGAATGAGAAGCAGGCAGACACAGACTGCAGTTGCCAAGCTGGGCAGTGCCACATCCAGCACCAGGCAGCTTCCAGCTGCTGTGGGAACGCCCGAGGAGCAGAGCAGCCAAGGCTTCAGGTAACAAAGGCTGGATGTCAGGCATGTAAGGCTACCTTAGAAGGTTACCTGCAGCATCTCATCTGGTTGATTTCTCAGCCAAGGCTCAGGGGTATGTTGGGACCTCAAAATTCTCCACTTGGAGAGGGGATCAGTAACAAAGCACCGAGGAATGGCTTATTTTCTGAGAGACCCCAATCACGGTGAGGTGACAGACTCAAGGTTTCTCTCACTGAGCCCACCCTACTGCACACAGGCACAGAGCTCTGCAGGGACTGACAGCTCAGAATTAGGGGTTTGGTGCCAGTCTGCCTGGTACCTGAAGGAAGAGCAGGCCTGAGCTACTGATGAGTGAGAGATCTGCTTTTAAGACATATCCCCTGCTCCAAGTAAGAAAAAAAAGAGGTGAAAGAAAGAAAAAAGAAGTAGCAGCAGAGAACAGTAATAGAAGAGAAACATAGGAGATTAAAGGCATAACACAATTTTCACAGAGGCAAATAAATAAAAAGAAAAAAACAAACAAAAAGACTTGACAGGCATAAATAGCCTCCTTGGTAATGAAAGAAGCCATGTGTTACAGTGAAAAACAAGCCTAATAAGCAATAACTTCATTATATGGTGCATCATTAACTACTAAAATCTTTCTAGGTTACAGACAGGACATCATGTTACTGCTTTTTGGTTTTACAACAATTAAAGCTCACTAATGTGCCACAACTCCTGTAAGAGACAAGACCACACAGTAAGGCTTGGATACTCAGGCATCTTGGAGGCTCTGGGAGTTCTGGGTCTCTCAGAAGCATCCCCTTACAGTCCCTTTGGACAAAGCTTACTATGAATTATGAGAAATTTACTATCAACTTACTCTGATGCACAGCTGGCCACTCTCACAGACAGGCAGGCCTCACAATCCTCCACAGAGAAGTAGCAGCTTTGCAGCTTCTTCACCCCAGATAAGGCTCTAAAATGCAACTCAGAAGCTCTCAGTGTCTGGGGGAACATCAGACAGCCCAAGCCTCCTGCCTGCAGCCTGCTCTGTCCGGCTGGGAATCTGCTGCCCTGTGCTATGAGAGGGCTGAGCTGCTCTGCCTGGGCTGAGAAGGCTCCCACACCAGGAGAGGGAGCAGGGATTTGAGCAAGCCCACCCAGGTGCCAAAGGCAGGGCCTGCCTGAGGCAGGTGAGAACAAATGGGCTGCAAGAGACAGAGTGAATCACCAGGATGATATAAAAAGGCTGGTGACAGTGTGCCCCTGAACATCTGTTTGCTGTGCAATAGCTATTTACAGAAACATACTAAGTGGCACTCTGCTGAAGTGTGTTTGTATTTGATTTCGTTGATTACTTTGTTTCCTGGCTCAGGTTTGCTCAATGAGCTCTCCCAATTCAGTTGAGGTGGTTGGAATCACCTGAAAACCAATTTCCGTTTCTTTTTTGATGGATGGTCTAAGCCTAACCTTTTGCTAGGGTGGTGTATTAAAACACCTGCACTTTATTTCCCTTTCTACTTTGCTGTGACCAGAACCTTGCTCTATGTGAGGCCAAAATGACTCCTGCTGAAGCCAGAGCAGAGGATGTGATTTGGCCATAGTGTACTCCTCTGTGTTCTAAATTCCTGGTGTCCCAGTGCACTCCTTATGATTAAACTGATCTTTATCTTCTCAGATCTCCTCCACTGCTAACTAACTAAATAGTAATAAAAAAATTGGACATACAATAGTTAATGTGAATGAGCTGTGGCTTGAAATAGCAGGTAACAGATGGAAACAAAAGACACCAACTATCCTGACACTTCTATCTTTAAATGTTTGTTTATGCTAAAAATATGCTTCAGGCCATCAAGCCTGTCTGTGCCTATAACCTTCACTGTATGCTCAGTCTATACTTCAGAACAGCTCCAGCCCAAAACCCAAATATTGCAGACATTTTCTGAAATCATCAGGATTTCAGAATCCTGATTCTGAGATCAGAATCTGGAGCAGTCTAGGTTAAGAATTAAAAAATCCAAGCTCAAGCCAGAACTAACATAGATTCCAAGACTTTCCTTTCTAACTTTACTCAGAGTGAGTGTCTGGCTGCTCCCACTGATGCCTAACTCCCAACAACCCTCCCAAGCAGGTGGGTGAGAGCCCTCCCCATGTCTGGGCTCTGCAGGGATGTGCCCTTCAGTGGCCACTTTTCTGGTGAAGGATCATGGGCCCTCTATCACAAGTTATGACCCAGAAAGCCGGGGTGGAATCCTGATGAAATGATCAGTGCCACCATGTGCATAAGACAAACCTCTTACCATGCCACTGATGGTTCCAGTTATGCTTCATACACCAAGATATTTATGATTTTAGTTTAGACTATATTTTTATACCACTGTGCAAAAGTACGATGGATAATTCTGAAATAAGAATAAGGGATGGCTTGGAAAATGTCACTGGAGATGCAGACTTGCATGCAGATTATGCCATCTTTCCAAAAATATACATCAACTTTACCTTTTTTTAATATATGTGTTATATACACACCACAGGCTCAATTTTCCCATATTGGTGCTTCTCTTCATGCTCGAACTCCTTACATCTACAGAGTCCCTGAAGAAGCAAAAGAGTTTTTCCTGATATTGAACATAATGTATGGGATTCTTCCCCAGCTGTTCGCTTACAGGTGTGTCAACAAGCCAGAGTTTTTTATGAAACCAAAACAAGAAGAAAAAACAGAATAGCAGAACTGTTTCCAGCTCCTGTCCTTGGCTGTGTATATAATTGGGTTGGGATATAACTGAACTGCTTGAATGGAACCCAGACGAAGCGTGTAAGATGTGTAAAATTGCACAACTGTGTAGTCGCACGGTCTGCTTTGTTTATCCTACTGAAAAAGGGAAAATAAAGACAACTGCCTTTAGCACCACTTCTCAACATTGTGACTTTGCGCAGCAGTGGATTGCCAGTTTCCACAGCTATTTTTAAGTAAGCTGCTTTGACAGTTTTAGAAATACTGCATGAAGTTAAATAATAATAATGATGTCAGTGTTTAGCCTCCGCACGCTGAAGAATAGCAGTGCTAGCAGTCCCTGCACAGAGCTACTGCACAACATGAAGGTCAGCATTATGAAGCATGAAAAATTAACATACATAACTCTGTCACATGCACATGTTTTATTTGTCAAAAAGTATGTCTTGTGGGTCAACCTTGTTAAAAATCCCAAGAAATCTTTTAAGAAGCAATCAACTCTTATGGTAAGACTCCATATATGATAAGCAAATCATATAGTTTTGTTAATTCTCTTCAGGATTCACTTCTGCAAGGACTGCTCACCTGCTTGAAGCCGAGCAGGTGCTCACCAGCACTTGTGGGCTGGGCACAGAGGGCTCAGGGCCATGAGCCACTGGGCTCTGGCTCGTGCATTTCCAGAGAGGAGGGGTTTTGGCTGTGTCTCTGCAGCTAATTTGGCTAATGCTGCTGGCTCAGAAACAAGCAGCAGCAAACACAGCGACCTTGGTTTGGGCAGCTTATGCTTCTGTTTGCAATTACAGCTATTTCTATGCCTTCTATGTGTATTTATATTAAAAGCAGTACCCCTAGTGCCTTTCTCACAGATGAAACTAGCTGAAACATTTTAACTGGAAACACTTTATTTGGGTATGTTGACTTCTTGGTGTTTTGATAGAAAGAATTTTATTTTTAAGCCTAATCAGTAACAAGGAAGCAGTTCACATGGCTGTGTGTTGCACCCTGCACGAGGGGACCTTCAGAGCACTGAGAAATTCAGGCTGTAACGCTCTCCTGCTGAACACCACCGTGCAGGTCCCACCAGCAGTCAGAGGAGACGCCCCAGGTTTTACACCTCCAGCCAAAGGGGCAGGTTCAAAACAACCACAGCTCACCTCAGGCAATGCTTGTTGGCACCCAGCATCCCTGGTGCAGCTCCTCAGGCTTTGGGATAGCTCCATCCCAGTGCCTCTTCCCAGGGAAACAAACCCAGCGCTGCCGGGCTGTCACAGGACGTGCTGGCTCACAAACAGGTATTCGAGCCTCTGATGTTACTTCTGGTGTCTTTAAAAAAACTTTGAATACATTCAAGGTGAATTTAATGACCTCCTGTTATCCAGAAAAGGCAAAGTACAGAAAAAATAAAGATCTCACCTGCACTTGTATCTATTATGGTCAACTCATGTTAACAGAATGTTTTGCTTTAATACTTGACTTACATTAATACCTCACATTATTACACGTATGAAGCCAAATATGACGCTAACTTAGTTGCTTACAACCTCAAACCTTACTCCCAATACACATTCCAATAAATTTATTCTGTAAAAACAATACATTTTTTTTGTTTCCTTTTTTGTTTTGTTTTGGTGGTTTTTTTGTTTTTTTTTTTTCCTTGTGTTTTTTTTGTTTTTTTTTTTTAGTTTTTTACAGTAAACTCATCAACTACAAACCTTGAATACGCAAAAGATGTTCCAAGGACAAGCATAACAAGGATTGATAAAACCAGACTAAATATGTTTTCACAATAAAAGCTGGCATAAAAATAAATAAAAATCTCTATTATCACAATAGCAACAATAATGTACACAGAGTAATGGATTTGGAATGCTTACTTACTAGTCTAGTTCTATTTCCAAAAGGAAAAAAAAAGCCAGAATGACAGCATCCTTTTTTAAGCCTTTCGTTATTTAAAATTGATGTTTTGTTTTGGTTTCCCATAGGGCTGTATATCACAGTAAGCTTAAAAATGGAAAGCATCCAAATGAATGATTTCAAATTGTGTTGGCATTGGAAAAATCCTTGTATTAATCTAAAGAAACACAAAAAGACTTTCACTAACTCCACATATAGGAACTAAGTCAGATAGTGTACATTACATCATGGTTTGGAGAAGTATTAAGAGTATAACTAGCTAGGTACTTCTAATAAGGAAAGGTATTTTATTATATTATTGAACTTGGCGGTGATTTCAGCTGAAGAAGAATTTTTCTTTTATGTTGTAAATTGATCAAAACCCAAGAGAGAATGGATATAGGAAAATTTAAAATTATGTTTGTGTGTGGAAGATTATTGTAGCATTGTATGGAGGGGACTAATTTCTAAGATTTAGTTGTGTTTAAAAAATGTTGATTTAGAATGATATAATTTAGAGTTACGCCTTTTCTGTCTAGAAAAGGAATCTAAAACATGTTCAAGTATGCAATATCTTCATTAACCTCAGCCACTGGAAAAAGGGCAACTTCATGCAACCAAATAATATGAAAATCAAAAAGTAACCCTTAGAAAAAAGGGTAAAAATGTCATTTCTGCAAACACAACAGATAGGAATGTGAATAATGTGCATACAAACTGGGATGCTGTTGATGTTACTAATGAACAGATGTGGTGACTCATATCAAATCCAAGAATATTAGACAACCAAACATGTAACCTTCTTGTATTTTCCCTTAATATTCAGCAGTCATTTTGTTGGTTAAGTCTGAAAGAGAAAGAGAAAAAAGTCACATTTAATGTAAGAAATAACATGCCTCATCAAACTTGATACAACTGATGGCATATTTCCACACTTAAAAGTCACAGGTACAAGTGACACCTGGTCTGTTCAAACAATTTTTTTTTTCCTAGAGAAAACTGCTTTGCTACATCAACTAAACATAACACTACAAAATATTAATGAGCACAGTTTAAAAGTAAACATTTAGGGCTGTATTCAATAGGCAGCTCCAGTGATGTGTGTAGGTGGGTTTTTTCACTGCACTAAATCACTGATGGCTTCATGCAGGAGCTCGGGCACTGCTGCATTCCTGGATGTCCAGCCACAGGAACACCCTCTTGTTCAAATACACAAAAGCTTAGCAAGCATGAGCAAAGATAAACATTTTCATCTCTAAGGGATTCAGATGCTGCTTCTGAAAAGGAAACAGTTTGGCTCCAGTTCACTGTAAGGTGATGACAGAAAAGGAAGGAACTCCTACTTCCACGGCTGAGTCAAGGTCAGCTCTTGCTTTCCCTGACATTAGCGGGATCAGGCTCAGACTCTGCTCATGGTGAATATCTACGAGCCTCAGTTTCCTCGAATTGAACAGAGATGGCAGAATTCACCTGATGGCCTTGGGACGTGTTACATTAGCCAGCAACATGACAGCATGCAGTGCACCATCACCACCCACCTCTGACCAAGGCACCCCTTCTCCTACAGCACTACAACTACTACAGTACAACACTACCCCGTGTTTGGACAGTGAAGTTCTCTCCTATGACAAGTGGTTGTGAACAGTAAAAATGGAAACCTGTGCTTTCTGTGTGGGAGCTCCTGGTACATCCTAACTAACAACACACAATCAGGGGTTATTAGCAAGTGCTCAGCGTGCAGCCATGGTTTACAGGAACTACCGGAGCCCTGACTCCCACAAAAGGTGTAACCATGTCCTGCCCATCCAGTACATCACACTCCAGAGGCCTCTCCTGTTTCAGTCAGTGAGATCACACTTAGAGATGCTTTGAGAGGGGATTCACTGCTGTTCCTTTCCCTTCAGATTCAGACACCATTAAAACAACTATACATGATCAGTCAATCAAACCCTGCTTTCTGCTAAGGTTCCCACTGCTAACATGGTTGGTTCCTATGCTGCAACTCTCAGATCCAGCACAGAAAGATGTCCTTTTAGACTATGAAACCTTTGCAATTATTAACCACAATTCCCTTCTGGGCTATGTCCAGAAGATTGGGTAGGATCATTCTTACGTGGGGTGCTGGGAACATTAACACTTCCCTCCACACTGTCTCACAGACACAGCTGCTGGGCATGGGAGGGACGACAAAGAGAGATAATGCAAGTCATTCTCTAGGGTTTTCACAGTTTCCAGTGCCATGTTCCATCATGACACACATTTTGCCTCCTGGGTGCAGTGCAGATGCCCCAGAAGTCAGCAGGTGCCTGGTCCCCAGAAGCAGAGAGAACCCCTGGAGGCCTCTCTGCCAGCCCTGCCCTGCAGCTCCCGCTGCCGGCCCTGCCGCAGCCGCTGATCGGGCATGCGGCAGAGCTGAGCACATCCCTGGTCTCCATGGTTTCACATCTCTTCAGAAACAGATCAACTCTCAAACATCTTTGTTTGAACAAGTCTCCCAGCTTCACTGTAAGCTATGGTATGTGTGCCATGCTGCCCAGCACTGCTGCACACAGAGGAAAGAGCACAGGATCTGACTGATTCAAGTGCAAAGTTTCTGTTATCAACGACAGCACAGAGAAAACTGAGCAGGGAACAAAACTAAACCCACAGACTGCCAGCTGTTTTTCTGGCACTGAAAATTTCTTCCTTAACAGTGTCTGGCAACTAATTCAGCCATCCTGTACTTTAAAACTGCATGGGCAGAAGGATAATTGTTTACTTGCTCTGTACAATAATTGCTATTCCATGCTGGTTTGAGGTCAAAGTGGTTATGGGATTTGATGTACACAGAGCTGCAAATATTTCATCTGTACTGGTTGCTTTAATCTGAACTTGCATTCAGACATTTATGTTTCCTCTGAGTTATGTCCCATGTCCTTAGCCAGCAGTGCTGTTATTCTGAGCTACAGGAAGGCAGCAGACAACACAACTCTTTACGCCATATACTATGCTACTATTTGATTTTTACATAGAAATCTTTACTGTGCAATAGTTAGACACATTCCTACAAATGTTATTTTTTGCTCTGAAGGGTTAATTTTAGCATGCCGCAAATTGCAGAAAAATAAAATCAGACAGAAAAACATACTCTGTTTTCATTTTTTGTACAAAATGCTTTTACATTGAACCGAGCATTAAATGCTATGCTTTCAATGCTGATAGCCCCCCACACCTGTTATGCAGCCTGACCAATATTATTCTTGGTAAGTAAAGAAGAGCAAAGTAACCAAACATCTCAAAACCACATCAGAAGGACACAGTGAACCTGTGTTTCTCTGGCCATTGCACTTGTACTTCACAGCAGTAACTGGGATTGTTGCTACCCCACAAGAACACCACAACAAAAAAGCCTAGACACAGGCTGTTTTAAATATGTTCTCCCAAATGCAATGGTGTCAGGTGGCAATACTTTTGGACGAGATTTTGATCCCCTTATTCATGCTGGCAGTTGCCTCCACAAATAGATCCACTGACTCAGTTGGTAACTGGTTGTCAGTGTGAGTAAAAGGATCACAGTCCTTTACTCCATTTTAATATTCAGGCTGTACCAGGAGCAAGAAAATGTATTTAATTTCCAGCAAATTTATTCTTCTCTGAAGACAGTAAAATCATTCACCTCCTGCACCTGTACACCAAGCAAATGCCTCCTTTACCAGCACACTGACCAGACTGTCACTGAAACAGTGAATAGCAAAATGAAAACTTGCCCCATACCCTGTGTGCTAACCCTGACCTTCAAACTCTCTAAGAAGGCCAGAACCACAGCCAGCTTTCAAACATGAGTACATGGTCATCCAGAGAGTAAAAGTAAAAAGCAGTTTAGGTGTTCAGTTACAAAGATTCAGAGTTATGCCAGTCAAGAACTGAAGACACAAGTCACCAGATATTTAAATGAGGAATGTAAATCTGCTGCCATGAATCCACTGATTTATGAGCTAACTTAATACCATGAAAGTAAACAACATAGAGCCATGAATACCTTTCCACAGAAAATTCTCTTTACATGGTATTCTGAGAAAGCCAAAACAATTTAGCATTTAACAGCAGAGAACAGTTCTGGGGTGATTCTATGACCAAGATTTGAGCAAATTCTGGGATGGGCTGTCTTAGCTGTTAGTTAGTTACTTAATATTGGATGATTAACCCCTGAGGCTCAGGTTCTGCCTCTTTCTGGGAAAGGAATCAGACAAAGAACAGCAGTTAAGAAAAGAGCTTGAAAAACAGGTAGGGATGGGACACAATTACCAACTATGGTTGGGTCTGAGAAAATGTCTCTTTCTTGAGAGTGCCTGTAGTACTGCAGAACAGCTCAGAAACTAAGGGATGGAGATAAAAACAGAAAGCACCTTTGTCTACCCAAGGGATAAAAAGAAAATCACAAGTTGAGCCCTTGAACAGTATGAAATTGTCTGAAAAAAAAAATATAATAGCTCTGAAAGTACTTTTATTTGCTCTGGGTTTGAGTCTTCAGGAAGCCATCACTTCGCATTTTCAAGCTTACCTCTACCACCTGGAGGTTAGAATTTTCATTAAAAAATATAGGTGAAGGTGCTTCTGCAATCATTTGGCTTCAGCTGTTAGCCCTTCAAGAAGATCCCTATAATGCTGAGGGTAAGAGTGTGATTAAAAGGCAAGATTCCATCTGATCTGAGGAGGAGAAATGTGCCTTCAGCCTACAGTCCAGGCATTACATAAGGTAATTACTACCTCATTATTAATAGGACTATTAAGAGAAGGGCTTGGTGGCCCAGCCCCGTGTGCCTTCCAGAGGTGGCCCAGCCTCCAAGAGCAGGCAGCTCTCAAGCAGCTGGTCACAGTGGCAAAACCATGGGGATGAAACACTCCTCTCCTAGAGATCAGGGCCCTGAACCCTTGTTTTGCTTGTCTGTGCCTTCAGGGTATCTTTCTACACTTTATTTTGAGTGAGCACTGCTTTGCACCCCGTGCTGTTCCGGAGGGTCCTGGCGCCGTCTCACGCCCTCACCAAGGTCCCGGTGCAGCCGACCTGGGGCAGGTCTGCACTCCACAGGAGAGGAAGCCCATCCTCTTCACACTGCCTGCTGCTGGCCCAGGGCTCTTCTCATGAGCTGAGTGACTCTAAAGAGACCATGTTCCCATCTATGGTGGTGTCTTTTAGCAGATTGAGACATTCTTCTGAATTCATGTGTGTGAACAGAGCTCTGCAGGCACATGTCGGTCTTCTTCAGCCTTCCTTTTTACAGCAGAGAAGTCCAAGAGTGTGGGCTGGAGGAGCTCAGTGCCCTGCAGCAGAGCCTCAGTCTGGGTGTCCAGCAGGACGTGGCTGCAGTGTCCAGCAGGACAGCTGGCCCCGTGGCCCAGCTGGCCAATGTGGACCTGCTGCAGGACTGCTGTTTAACACCAAATGAGAGAACCTGCTGCTCCTCCCCCAAGTGTCCTGTATCTTCTGAAGGCAGAACTTCTAAAAAGCCACTTGGTGTGGTTCTGAGGAGCAGCAGGACATGGAGTGTCCCCTCCTGGTCCTCAAAGAGAATTGCACTACTGACAAAACCTCGATGAAATGCTGGAGATTCATGTGTGTAATGATGATTTTGCAGCAGAAATACCCAAGGTGAAATATGTGGATCAGGATGTGAACTTTTCCAAACTTATCAGTGCTTTTATCTCTGCCCTTAAAACCACATGCCCATTGTCTCTTTAATCCATATTATTAAAACTCCACCTGTCCATAATGTTAAAAGCATCCAAGACCTAGTAACGGAGTGGTTGCTCTGGTCTGAGTTCAAGGCTGGGTGCTGGAGCTGCAGAACTCAGAGCAGAGCCATCTCCCCACATGGGTATGGCAGTACTGATTGTGAGTATTTCTTGAAGTTGGTGCTGGCAGGAAGCATAAGACTGTTGACAGTGTTTCAGTATTTCAATATTTCAGCACAGAGGCTAAAATACCTGTAAATCCTAAAAATGCTGAGAAGCATCACAATGTTGTAGCATGCTGGACTCCACCTCCCAGGCATGTCACACCCAGAAGAAAGAGCCATATGAATGTCAACAGCCACAAAGCCAACATCCTGTGTGACATTTTAGCCACTTAGTCTGTGACTGACTTAACTCAGTAAGCATTTTGTCCTTACATGGAAAATGTGTCTGAAGTTCACAGACATATCCCCTGTCACTGCTACAAACACAGGAAACACAGCAGGCCCTGTTGAATCTCTTGCTACCTCAGATGCATCTCACAAACAGTTTTCCCACTCAAATACCTATCAGAAGACATAGAAGTGTCACAGAGCTCTCTAGGCAGAACATGGGCCACACTCATCAGCTTCTGACACCCTGTGGGTGACAGGCTGGGAGGGCACAGCTGGGCAGTGTCTCCTTGCATCAGTCTCTGCCTCAAGCCAGCAGCTTGTTCAGAGTGAATGGGAGACACTCAGGACACATTTTCCTCGTGACCCCATGAGCTACCTATCAAAGTCTTTATAAGGAAGAGAGACATGGGGGAAGGAAGCTCTGGGAGGAATCTTTCAGCAGGAGGCAGCAGCAGCTCCCCAGAGGTTGTGTTTTGTGAGCAAGGGCTGTGGCTGAGCACGCAGCTGGGTGCTAGGGCACCTCAGCAGTGTCAGATGAGAGCCTGTGCTGGCTGGCTGCCTCTCACACCTGGGGATTTGTGTCACTCAGCTCCTGCTACAGCCCAGCCCGGCTGCTGCCCACGTGGCAGAGCCCTGGCATGGGAACTGCACAAGGACTGGATCTGAGTTGGAGCTGTAAGTGCTGGAGCAGAGGCTTCTGCTGCTCCAAAGGCTCAGGAACAGCAGAGGTTGTTAAAGGTGGCTGAGTAACCAGTTGCCATGCTAATCCCCCTGCTCAGCAGCCTTCTTGTCTTGTGGTCACAACAAAGAAATACTGATATGAACACACAATTGACACAAACACACAAGGAGATTATATGAAGCTGCTCTGGATATACACTCTGTATATCCTGTCCTTGTAAGGTCACAGCCCAGGGCAGCATCTGCCCTGGGAGCTGCAGTGTGCAGAGTCTGTAATGTGCACATGAACCCTCATGAACTCTGAAGAAGACACTGGGACTGCACAAATTAAACAAGTGTGAGAGGGTAAGTAGGCTCTCCCTGTTAGTGAGCCAACATGCATTATGCAAACGGTCTGATTCTGCTCTCACATCAATTTTACATCATTCCAGCTCATGGTTATCAGTAGCTCCTCTCAGCTGACATCTATGCAAGTGTCAGAACAAAAATAATGCTCTTTTTTCAGTCATTTCTCTAGAGCAAAATTTGTACCACTGCAGGCAGCAAGTCCATGTTTTTGTTCTAGACACATTCTGAGCACTGAAATGTAAGCCAAGAAGGTGGCATGTGGTAGACACAGGTCATCCCTGGCTCCAAAGACCCCCAGGAGCAAAGTGTACGGGAAGTGAATTACAGGAATTACCCCTTCACTGGTTTTCTGCAAGTCTGAAGAAGTGTTCCTTGTGTCATTGCCTGCGTCCCCAGCATCAGAGCTGCTCTTATTTTCTTCCTCTTTGCAGTCCTTATCATCTTCATCTCCAGGAGATTTCCGTGACTGCTTGGAGGATTTCTGAAATGATCAACAGCAAAGTTAAAATTAAAACCTGAGCTTCAGCCATAGAAAGACACTTCTGAAATGTATGTGGAATGCTGTCTGATCATGCATTTCCCTGTTCAAGGTGAATACTGGGGAGGATACATAGGGTGAAAAGCATTTTTCAGGTGAAGTAGCTGGAGTTACTGCCACCAATGAAGGAAATTTCTGTGAGATTCTGTGCTCAGCACAGGTTGGCAGCTCAATTGACTGAAAGACAGACACAGTAATAGGAGCTGGGTATTAGTGTTGGGGTCACCTGTAGGTTTTGTTAGTTAATGAAACAGATGGTACCAGCCTGACAAAAGTTTTGATTAAACACAGAGATGTAAAATGAGAATAACATTAGCAGAGCTGCTTTCCATACTTTTTTTTTAGTGCTGTCAGCTTTAATATATTAACATTAGAGCCATGTGGAACCAATACATCTTTTCTGTTCCCTTTATGTTATGCAATTCTACAGTACAAAAGGATAAATTGTGGCATTAAGCCACCATTTTCATAATCCTCTGTTTGCCCAGAGTCTTCTGGAAAGAAGATGGTAGACCAGACCTGAATTTCTAATGTAAAACACACAAAAGGGGTGAAAATACATTTTGTTCGGTGGATCAACCACAAAAATTCACACTCTCCCCCAAACTGTGCCTGGATCAGATTGTTTGCTTGCTTCTTCTCAGTTCAATTAGTTTTCACTTTCAGAGAAGGGAATAACATGAATATGAATAAATTGACTCTGCCACACTTTCCACAAATTTTCAGGCAAAGTGTCTCCCTGGAGGCACACACAGAACCAGAGGAGGTGACTATAAAGCTGCTCCCCTTTACCTAGGTGACAAGTGAGAAGTTTATCTGAACCCAAAGGTGGCACTTCTCAGAGGATTATGTCCACCAGCCACTGTAAGACAGGCACATTACTCTTAGCTTCTGATCTACACTGTTACTTAAGACATTAAAAGGCTGGTATGTACTACAGTGCAGACCTTACATATACAAATTGAGCATCCTACTCCCTGCTTCATGAATTAGTTCTTCCTCCTTCCCATTCTTTATTCTGGACTGAAGTATTTTACTCTCAGCTACAAGAGGAGCAGCTGAGGACATCTGACCATACCAGATCTTTTTGGGAGATGGGAGAGGGAAGCTTCAGTTCTCAAGGACAGGAAACAAACCTGAACTCATGACTCTCAGGAGGCCCACTCCTAAGGCTTTTTTCCTTTTTCTTGGGGAGACATCTATCTGAGATGATCAAACCTATCAATCCATCTTTGCATGGGTTTTCTTTCCAGCCCTTCTGATCTCCTTCCCATAGTTTCACCTCCTTCTCAGTGTGTGGGCACTAGAACAGGGCAGAGTATTTCAACTGGTGTCTCACCAAGGCTGTCTACCAAGTAAGAGCACTCCCCTTTGCCTATTTGAGCACCACTGTTGTGGTTTCAGAATCAAAATGCTAAAGGAGGAAGAACAAATTTACATGAGGTGAAGAGTATTCCAATTATAAATGCCCATGGGTAACAACAGGAAAAGTCAGAAGATAACCTTTGAAGTGTAGGATTTTTTCCGTTTTGAGCCGGCTTTTTCGTTCTTTCTTTTTCCTTTTCCATCCTCTTCTACCCGATCACCTTCCTCCTCACTGCTGGCATCTGCTGTATTTCCTCCTTCTCCTTCAGTTTCTGATGAGCTCTGTTGCTGAATCGCCTTTAAAATAACAACAACGATAATAACATAAACAATAAAAATATCAGTAATACCTATTAGCTGATTTTTGTTCTGCATTGAAGATAGAAATAGTGAAAATGGACATCTTACACTTTAATTGCTGTAGTTAGGAAGAGCTCAGGTTATTTTTGCAATTATCAGGAAAACAGGCTGCAAAGCCAATTTTCTCAGTCACCACCTGAACTCAGTTATCAGATGCAGAGTCTGGGATAGCATGTTCTGAAGGGTTTACACAGAAACAGAAGATCTGATAACAAAAATGTGTTTGCTGGAGGAGAACTAAAGGCTGCTCAGTGGAGAGACCTGGCATGTTCTGCTTTGGGAAAAACTACTGAAACTTTTAGACTTTGGCTGCAATAGGAGAGATTTTTTTTGTGAGAGAAGATGGCTGTTACACTCCTCTCAAAGAGGAAGATCTCTGTGTTTTGGGAAAGCAAACCCTGACCAGCAGGCTGAACACTCTTTGACAGCCCATCTCCCACAAACTATTCACTGGATTTTTTTAAAATCCCCAAGTGTATGCAAAACATGTGTTGGGCTGAAAATATGAAACAGGAACTGAGAGAGGCAGCAGCTTTTCTGCAGGTGGTCTGTATCTCTGGCTTGTAGGGTTTTGAGGTAATAATGTAATAGGTGTTTGCCTTCTTTTGGAGGTGATTCCTGCCTTCAAAGGACCACATTTTTTTAATGAGAAAAGTTCTTTGTTTTATACGGCCCACCAACTACTCCTCTCCCCCTCCAGCTTCACTGACTTTCTGCTCTGGACACCCAACAGGGAGAGCTGTTGTACAGCAGCAGCTGTCTCCTAACAGCAGCTTAGCCCTCCACCTCTTCACTCCTCTTAGCTTTGACACTCTGTGTTATACATTACCAATGTAAAAATCAAAAGGGCAGTGACCTTAAGGTCTGTGTAAAATACACGGAGCCTGATATAAAAATAAACAACAGAAAGAAGAAGTCAGAAATTATTCATGTTTGTACAGGAGTAAATAAAACCATCCATTTTTAATTTAACTAAATGTGTTGCAGAATTTTCCACTTCACCACCCCAGAATATCATTGAAAGCAAAAGGCTCTGCAGTATGATTAAAGTTCCATTTGTCACAGAGTGTGAGACCACAGTTGTCTTTACATTACACAATTACCAGAGCTGTGAAACTTTCTTCCTCCATCAAAACCTTACACATCACTCTTAAAATGCTCACTTTGACAAGCAGTAAAAGAAGAAAACAAGAAAGATAAGGAGGAATAGGTGTGAAACTCATTTACCTGATATCCAGTAAACTTTACTCCAGGGTTGTTTTCTATTTCCCACAGGCCTTCATTAAATCCTTTTCGCTTGTTCGATTTCCCAAACTTATCTTTATATTCTTTATATGGGAAAAGGTCTTTGGGCCCCAGGAACGCACTGCATTTTAACAGAGGTAACATTCAAAAAAGGACTTATCACTCTCCTCTTCAAAAAAATCAAAACATGAACAGTGCAAATGTTTTCCCTATTTTTCCTGCTCATTCCATCATTTATTTTCTAGTTTTATTTATTTATTTATTTGTCACACTGCCTTTCAGTTACTGCTGTGAGTCTGGTTTAATGGATTGGCTCACCATCGCTATGTTTGATGTAGTAAAATCATGCTGGGTATCTCTAGAAACAACTGAAACATCTCTATTTTATTAACTCCTGCTGGGAACTGACACTTGAACAGTTTATGAAAGTTTATGGAAGAGTTTATGATGTCATTGCTTGCCATAGTAAGGGACCAAACTTCCAATCCTAGTATTTTAAATCCAGAAAGGCCTCAAAAGTGCCCCATGAACAGTTAAACATGTAAGAAGTGCCTAGGACCCATGAGCCAAAATTTATCCCTTGTACTCTGGGATAGAAAAAGCAGTGGCATTTATCATTATCTATACTGCCAGGAAGCCTGGGAGCTGCTTTCTTGGAATTAGCCCCCCGCATACTAAATTCTGTACAAACACAATAAAAATGCTCTTTCCCAAAAATCTTATAATTTCATATAAGAACAAAAACAATGGATGAATATAGGCAGATGAGTAATACAAGGAAACAATGAGACACACAGGGTGCTTGTGGCCAAATAGTTTTTTAGACAGCGCAGCAAAGGACAGATTTTGTGCTTTGCTGCTGCCTAAGTCAGCTATGCACTGGGCCAACTAATTTCAGGAACAAGCACCACAATGCAGGGAAAAATAATTATAAAAAAAAGAAGAGTGATGATTTGTCCTGCTTTTTCTACACACATTACAGTAAAACACTAACTTCTTAACTCTTAAACTGAAGAAAGTATAACTTTCTTTTTGTTGGGTACCTACATCTACTGTATTCTGCATCATGATGTTGAAATTGTAATCACAAGTTAAATTAAAACAATGAAGTCAAAAGGACCCCTTCATTCACACAAGTAAAGATTCTGTGTCATCAATGACCAGAGCTGAGCAAGTCCCAGTGTCCTTCACCATAATCACTGTCCTACTTTCCTGATGAGCCTCACAATTCATGTTAACTCTCTGGACTCCATTACTGTGGGATTGTGGAGCTCCACCGTGTCCAACACATTTATTGTTTTAACTTCACCATGATGTTGGGAATCTGCCCTTTTTGCAGATGGGCTTCTGAGGCACAAAGATTTGTCCAAAGTCAAACTCAAACTGATAGCAGAGAGGAAAAATCAGCTCTATTCAGTCTCAGTCTAATACCTTAATCACAAGATCGTATTTCTTCTTTTCTGAAATCATTATTTCAGATTAATGCCTGATTTATGCCCAGCATTTATGAATGTGCAAAGTTCCATTCACTTAAATCATCCCACTGGCCAAGCAGCTTGCCAATGCAGAGCCAACTGGTCGCTAAAAAGGCATCAGATGACAAGTCCCTGAGGAAAGAGCTTCCTTCTAACTCCACATGAGAAAGCATGGGATCCACACTCAGCTGGATATTGAGAAATACCTTAATTATATAATTTCAAAGCCAAGAATGCATTTCTACCTGAAAGCCAAACAGTGATTTCCAAACTATGTCATATTAATATGAAATGCTACACTAAAAAAATTATGTTATCTACACTTTTGCTAATACCAGGAGATGTCTCCTTGTTGTCAAAAACATAAACAAACAGTTCTAACACAAAAGGAAAAGTGGGTGAAACTTGGTATAAGCTACCTTAGCTCAACAGTAATGTATGGAAATGTTTCTACAGCCTTTTGTGTAAAGTAAACACTGAAAAACTGTCTACATCTTTGCTTGAGATGCATTCATTGCCACTGGGAGAGTATAAGTATCTACTGCTCTGCTATAAAACTAAGGAGCTGCAATCTACAGCTCATTTTTAACAGTTTGGCTTTTCATTTACAAGGTAGGAACTACAAAATATTTTCCTGTTTCAGATGCTACAGTAAGATCATGAGCTCACAAAATCCAAAAGAGATTATCAGTTTGGGATTCACTTATTTTGGAATAAAAGTGGTCAGTTTTTTTCTTAAATTTTTCTCAAAAATTATGTTTCCATTCAAAAAGAATTACATAAATTTTTGGTTTCTGGTTTGAAAGCATCAGAAGTTTATTTGAACTTTATCCTTCTCAGATTATTTTTTGACAGTACTAGTAGACCACAATATATCAAAATACCAGGTTGTTTCATTCTAGCAATGGGAAGAACTATTTTAACTAAAGAAATGCTATTATGAGCGCTATAAAGCAGAAACTGCCTTTGAAGATTTTTTTTTTTTAATAAAATGTGATGTATGAGCTATGGAGCTTATTGTGTTCTGGAATAATATTAAAATTCAAAAATAAACAATAAATTTTTAATAAAGCTTCAAGCCTCTAACACTGAATTTAAAATATCATCAGAATTTCATTTTTTTCCAGTTTTAAATGAATTCTAGAAAACTTGTTACCTGAAAATGGGGAAGGAAAAGTTTTAAAATTAAAATATTTCATGTAAAATGGAATGTGACTCAGACATATTTCAAACTAGAGACATGTACATTATAATCTTGAAACTCTGTACTTGGTAGCAATAATGATGAGACCTAACTTACCTCTTGTGCTATGATTCCTTTCTTTCCCTATCAGCTCAGCCAGCTCAGTTCTTCTATCACTTCTGTGAGCTCCATCCTACAATATCCTCAGCACAAATCTCCTGGGAATGCACATATTTTAAAGCTCTGTGAGGACTGCCTGAGACTCTGGGCTCTGCTTCCTTTCATATTACAGACTACCAAGTGAGTTCTCACACAGTCCAAACACGAGAGCCTGATCTCTGCTGTCGTGGATATTCAAGTAAAAAATGTCTGCCCCTGCCTCTGAGTTCAGGGCTTTTTTTGGACCCTTTAATGAATTCATGCCAACACATTTCTTGATAGGAAACACAGGCTTTTATTGTTTACCTCATGGTAGACCATGAAGGCAGCAGCATTCCCAACTACTTTCAGCTTTCACTCCCATTTGTTAATACAAATGAGTTGGGCTTGCAGGACCTATCTCTAGGCTCCCAATGGCTTCAGTCAGGGTTTGTTCCAATAAAATCAGAGGAAATGTTGTCAGCTGCAGTGGAAAAAGACATTTTCACAGGAACAGGTCACGTTCATTCACTTACGTTTCATGAGTCCCAAAAAAGAAGATGGGGTATTTATTTGCTGGAGGCTTCACGGCTCCTTCAGGAAGTTCATCAATCTGTAAGAAAGAAAGCAGTGGAAAAAAGATTATTCCCAGAAGTGGTGTCCCTCATCCAAGAGTCCCTTCCAAGCCATGGAGGTTCTAGCACAGGTATCCTGCAGCCTTGGGAAGTCCCACTGTGTGTGTGCTGGGGTGGGGAAGGGAAGACAGCTGCTGGTTTTTCAGGCAGGCAGGTCATACAAAGTCAGAATATGACTGAAGTACTGAAGGGAGACAGCAGAAGACCCAGGAGCACACACAAATGATTTTAATGATTTCATGGGCATTATAATACAGAAAGGCAATAAAATCAAGTCCGCTTAATTTAAGTGTTAACTTCAGATGCTGCCTCATCAAAGGCATCGAAGCCCAGAGGGAAATCCTGCCTGTCTCACACAGCCACCTCAGTAACTTCTGCAACAAATGGGGAACAGATGATATCTCTTAGACTCTGCAGCTGGAACACTGGACAATCTCCCAGTGGTGCTTCCTGTGGTGATGGTGGTACAGAGCGTAAAATGTGTAATGTACACCAGGGAGGAGGGCCAGGGACTCTCCTTCCCCTGCAGCACCCTGATAAATGGCTTTGGTTACCACTCCACTCTCGACCCTCTCTCTTCTTTCACATTTTAATCCTGGCCTGGTATTTCTCAGGATACAGCTGCAGAGCAGAGACAGGAGGGGTGCTGAGGGTGTTCTCCTGAGACAGAGCTGGTGTTGGAACAAACCCCTCAAGATGAGCAGTGCCCAGACCCCTTCTCCCAGTGTCTGGGTGAGCATCGTTTGTGATGCAGGAGGTGAGGGCCAGGACTTAATCTTGTCTGTGTCTAATTTTGTAGTCCTCTGCAACAGAAATAAGAGAGTCCAGGTGCCTACCCACATAAACCAAAAACACAACAAAGCTTTAAATAAGATCTAAGAGCCTGCCTTCCCAGAAATGGCACTTCTGAGTGTATGTGGGTGTGTGAAATTAAGTGTCCAGAGAACTCTCTGGCTAATGAATCTAGATATCTACAGGGCAGTACCAGTGAGCAGGTGAATGGCTTGGTGCCTGATCTGAGGCAACTCAGCCTCAACATAAGCATATCAAATCCTGCCAAATGTCACTGCAACTGAGAGCAAAGTGCTGACATAACAGTGCTATACAAAATCTGCTCCTCAGCAGAGCACAGGGATGGAACCTGCAGGTTTTCACTCAGGAGGCCAGACCCACATGTGCTTTCCTTCTCTTTTCTTGCTGAAGGACCCCTAACACTGAATTCTTACTGATTAATAAGCATCAGATTGTTTTGAAAGGATGTCCTCTTTCACAGTAAAGCATCTGCTTGGTTACGTAGCTTTCAAAGGAGTATGAGCTTTTGTAAGAATTCAAACCCTTTTGGTCTTTCTGCAAGGACACCCCTTGAGGATGGAGAAACGAGAGCCACGTGTGGAACTGTAACATCACAGGACTCCTTTCTGTAGAAGAAATGGATGCCTATCTTGTAGGTCTAACCAGAACATTCTCTGAAGCTGCACCAAAATCTGGAGATCTGAGAGCACTTCCAAACCATTCCCTCAGGGTGTGTGTGGTGGGGCTCTGGCACACTGGGTCATGTGTCACCATGCACCCACTGCCCAGCACAGTCTGCAGGAGACAATCCAGGATTGTCACAAGTGTCACATGCCTTGTGGCCACAGCAATTGCCTGTTTCTTGTACCTAACAAAGCTAATAATTTGATAAATGAAAGGAGAATCTATTACTGAAATGCACATAGAAGGAAGATGCACACTGGTGAAGGATGAACACGTGCATTCCCTTTCAGCTCAGCTGTGTGAATGGAGGAACTGAAACAACATGACAGGCTTTTTGGTGTCCTCTGTCATCAGGAGTACATAGAGGAAAGGCTGTTGAAAATATTACTTCAGAGCTCTAACATTAACTATTTGTTTTTTAAAGAAGTGCCCATAGTGTTGCTATTTGCTCAGAATTCATTATTTAAATACAGATAGTAGACTTATTACAAGAGTGATAAAAAGACTTAAGGTTAGAAACACTGCAAGTCCCTTCCCAAACTGATAGCAAGTCAGGGAGATACTGCTTGTCTGTAAAGCATTTTATGCCTTCCTTAAATATGGAGGTATCTACATGTCAGAGGGAAAAAAGACTGTGCTGTAAACTTTAAAATCTTTAGCAAGATTTTACTGAGTAAAGGGAGAGGTAACACTCAACTGTCTGGATGCCATAGACATCCTCCTCTTTATTGTGACAAGGAAGATGTCCAGATACCAGACCCCAGAAAAATGTGGACTCCTTTGACTGAGACAAACAGTATCTGCTGGGACTTGAGTGCAAATCTCATTTGGCCACTTGAAACACGGCGCCAGCTCTGGGCTGCATTACAGAGCAGCACAGCCCAGTTACTGCCTCAGCCCTCTCAGAATCTCTCATGAAATGAAGTAAACAGCTGCAAATGATCAGCAAAGGAGGGGAATGAAGACATGCTTACTAGGGAATGCTGATCAGAAGGGATTTGGGATCTTACATCACACAATGTGCTATGCTCTAAAGCAGTGAGGATCTCTAAGCAGTATCCCAAGTGGAGTTAAGCCTTCTCTCTCATTCCCAGCACTTAATACTGTTAGCTAAGGAGCAGCACCAAATCAACAAAGGACAGAACACACATCTGTCACACAGCTCACCTGCTCCCCATTTCGTGGTGCATTTCTTTATTCATCCAAGTATCCCTTCTGACTATGTATCATCACAGGAAACCATAAAAAAGCTTTTCATAGCTTTTGGGAATACACATTTTTTTGGCATACACATATAAACACATGCAGTATAAATCTGCACCAAGCAGCTAAAGGAGAGACTGTTAATGCTCCCACTCTAACATTTCACTCTGCAGCTGAGGTCAAGACTTTTCCTGACTTCACTGACATTGCTGTGAGCTCCCCAGCTCTGGGGCTTATGTTGCTAGTACTGTAACAAGGTTGGATATAAAGTGACAGTGTTATCTTAGGGCCATTGAACTCTGTGGCAAAAACTCCAGGGAATTTAGTGAAGGATGAGACCCTCTCCTGCCATTAGGAACGATCTCTTCCCGTTTTACCTCTTTCACACAAATCCCTGCATTAGAGACTGTCAGAGGAGAGCTTTGCTCAGTCTCCCTATTCCCAGTAAAGCCACCTTAGCCCTCTGTGAATGTGGAGTCCCTATGTGCTTATTTAGCTGCAGAACAACTCCGGCACTCCATGACAATTGCTGCTGTTTTGTTGTAGCAGAAAGCAAGCAGTACGAGCAACCATACTGCAATCTCCTGCTGCTGCACTCAAGTCACAATTTATTCCCATTCTACAGGATGTTTTGGTTAAATATGCTGCAGATTTGGATCCGATATTTTCCCCCATATCAGCAAGATCAAAGACAGAAAGAGAGAGGGAGGGAGGGAGAGGAAGAGAATGAGCGCATGAGCACAAGAGCAAAAAAAGCATCGCTGCCTTGAACCAGGAACAAAAGAGGGAAGAGCACCCATACTAGAACACCGTGTTGTAGTCACAGAAACCTCACTAATGACTAAAGCATCTGTCTATCAGAGAGCCAGACTGCGACTGTGTTTTGCTCCTGGAAGGAAACAAACAGATTCTCAAGTACCCGCTGTAACCTGCAATCAAACAGGAGCTCCATCCCTGCCTGAACCAGAGCGGGCTGGAGCTTGCTGCCACAGAAATCAGTGTGAGCAGCGCATGGCGTGCAAATCTGATACATGCTTCAGCAACACCACGGGCAGCCGCTTCAATTATGGCTAAAATTAAAGCAGGTGGTTTCAGATTTCCAGTTTTATCCCCTTAGCTCCCGTTGCTGTCATCTGCTTAATGAATAACAATTGCTTTCTTTTTGCACAACCTCAGCAGAGCTGCACTGCCCAGCGTTTGTTTGCCAACCAAGCAGCAGAGCTTTAAAGATGGAACTGCGAGGTTTTTTCCAGTAAACAAATGCCAGGCTTCTAGGGTCAAGAACACTGAACAGAAAATTCACCTCGGTCCTCTGCAGCCAGAGCGGGGCTTTATCAAGCCGTGTTGCTAGTGACTACCAATGTGGAGAAATGCAAGGAACGTGTCGGGATCTTCACGCTGCAGTTCACTGCTTAGGAACTGCTTAGGATGTGTGTGCAGCCCAAGTGCTCTGCTCTCGGCAGCGCCCGGCAATCGCTGCCTTCCCAGGGAGCATTTCCCAGGCTGGGTTTGGCAGTCCTCACACCGCCCTGCTCCCTTCCCGGCTGCCATGAGAGGCTGGGGGCCCTGGGGAGCCGCTGGCCGGGCCGGGCTGGCTCTGCAGAGCCGGAGCCCAGCGAGAAGGGACAGCAGCGGCTCCCGCAAGCACGAATCATCCCGTGCCTGCCTGCGGGATAACGCGGCGTGCTCCTGACAGGCGGAGGAGCTCGCTGGGAGGGCTGGTGCAGAAGCAGAGGAAGCTGCACCCCCTCCCGGGTGTTGTGCTCTGCAGAGCTCTACATTCCCTGCAGAATGGGAAGCATATCCCTGCGAGAGGCGCTTTGTCTCTGCCGCGCTCGCACAGCCGCTCTGGGGGGCTGATGGTACCGCAGAGGAGGAGGAAGGGGATGCTCTGCCCAGCAAGGCGGAAGGGCAGCCCAGAGCAGCTCCTGCCAGCTGCAGGGGCAGCAGGTGTCGTGTTTTATGGCATCACAAATCCTCTGTGCTGTCCACAGGCTGCTGCTCAGAAACAGGAATTCCAGGCTCTCGGGGTGCCTTTCGACCAGACCCTGTCCTACTGCGTTGCAACAGAATTTTACACCAAAATAAAAAAGGTGTTATGCAAAAGTACGCATCAGGTCCCCATTTACAGCATAGAAAACTTTACATACATATTACTTTACAGCATCTGGGGGATGCTTATTTGGACATCGAAACCACAAGAACAAGTCCTTTTATTTTGCAAAAAGAGGGAATTAAGACTGCAGAGCAGTAATCACTGATTGTTTTGACATAGTGTGAGTGCCTTTGATTGGCAAAA